CTGCCCAATCGAACACCGCGCCACAACTGACATGCCGCCACAACACCAAACACAGTGCCGACACGCAGCAAGTGCAAATCGCTTCAACCCGCGTGTCTTGCATCGCAGGGCTGACCGAGAACTTTTAGTTGTAGCAACGTTATGATTGCATCATGAGGTTGGCATAACGAACTTGACAATCTAACTGGGCATTCGTCCCGTGCCCGGTCGGTCCATGACGATGGATCTCTTACGACGCTTGGGTCGTCGTGAATAAATGCGAAGAGCTGAACAGCGTGATCGATGGCTGACGGACACACCGCCTTCCTCGTGTGCACACCGCCTTCCTCGTGTGCACACCGCCTTCCTCGTGTGCACACCACCCTTTGCTTGCGTACACCGCCTTTCTTATGTAGATGCTGCACGCTGGACACCGCCTACCTCATCCGACACCGCCCACCTCCTTCGACGCTTTCCTCGTGAGCATACCGCCTTCCTCGTGAACACACCGCCTTCCCTGTGTGTACCCATCGACGTGACACCGCCTACCCCATTAGACACAGCCTTCTCCATTCCACACCGCCTACTCATTGGTCACCGTCATCTCGAACTGGTCAATTGGTCCTCATCTGGTCAGCCAACCCCAAGCGGCCGCTTTCATCGCACCCACACGAGGACCTGGATACATCGATGCTCCCCGAAACGGCGAGCAACAAAAGGCAACCACAGCCTATGGCCATTTTCGGCTCAAGCAGCGATCAACATTCGCGTGCTTTTGTGGTCTGTTGTCACATTGTCTGCCTCAGTACCTCCCAAGAATTTACATACAGTACCGTCGGGCCGCCCTTTTGTCCCACTCTCGATGGGCCACTTGCACTGTACTACCCGAAGAACGGTCGGGTAAGGCGTCTCGAAGATTTTGCTGGCCACTACAGTACAGAGGGCAAGAAAAGATGAGCTTTGGAGTCTCGTACAGTAGGGTCCGTATTGAGCGTCCCGTTTTCCACTCGGTGTAAGTTTATAACGGCGTCCCATTTTGGCTGAGAAATGGGGCCGGCCTGGCTTACGCCAAGTTCCATGTATCTCTAACCACCGCGACCGTCGAGTTTCTATCGACAGTTCGCTCATTTGAGACCATGCCAACCCGCAGAGCTGTCAAGTATGTGTGCATGGTCTTTTCCTCAGGCTCTCCGGTTGTCCACTGCACGCTTCAGAAGCGTCCGGATCCTGCAACCGAACCATCATGGCCGTAAATATATGGTACGCCTGACTGACAGGATATATCCAATACGCAGCGATACGGACACGCGAGCTATTGGCATGACATCGTCAAGGTTGTCCCGCTTCGTAAATGGAGCGAAGCTGACATTATCTCGGAAAACCCGCGCGCTAAGACAGGCTGCGGAGCATTCGCAAGACCTGGAGGCTGTGTCCGAGGGGAACCAGCCGATTGTTGAGTACGTGCCATTCTGCGCGTTTTGCTTCTCTCTGTCTCACAAAGATAGCATCGCCGCACTGCACGGCCGCAACGGTCGCTCTCCCAAGCGCCTGCTACAGCAAACACAAGGAATGTCAACGATTGTTACCAACATCTCTCAACACCATGCGACCTGGGTTGATCTATTTGATCCTGGACAATACTTTCCAGTCCTTGATATCCTCTCTTCCTACCTAACTATAGCCGACTTTCTGATGTTGTGCCGAGCTTGTAAAGGACTTGCCAAGCTCCAGGAATATATGTTGAAGAAGGTGTCCAATATCAACCTCTGGCTGGGTGACTTCGTGGACGAGCCTGGTACGTTTCGGACCCAACTAGGGAACTATGGTGCATTGATATCGGGCCCTTTTGCAATCAATGTACTTGAGCTTGGCCATCGGGGCGTCCCATACCTGGATGTCCTCATTCAGGACGGGGTCAACGCCGACCGGCTCGCGAATTATATCAAAGAAGCGGAGAATTATCATGAGGAAAGTCAGGGAGAGGACACGGTAAGGCCACATTGACCGCAATATCCTAAGTTTTGCTAACATCTTTTTGGGCTCGAACGTATCGTACCTACGGTTGCACTGCGCGGCCTAACATGAAGGTTCGCATCACTCGAACAAGCGGATCACCTATCCACTTTATTCTCACGTCGTCGTACACAACGGCCTCCATGAACCTTATTACCTGGAACAAGGCATATTCAATCTTTCCGCGCCAAACCCTTGTCAACCATAGGTTCTACCCACTGAGGTCGCTTGACAATGGATTTGGGTCTCACCTAAACGAACTCGCCCAACTCGCCTGGACCACACGCGATATTCTGTGGCCAGATATCCAGGGGCCAAATAATTGCAGGCTGGAAGGCCACAGGCGTTTAGGTGATAGGTATAGTTTGGTCATTCCACTGAACACCGAGTCTGTTCAAGCGCCTGCGACGACGGACTTTGCGATTGAGTACGCCCAATTTGACATTCCAAGGGTCGGTACGCAGGATACACAATCCGGCCCTGGGTTCAGTTCACCAACACAGTTTACTCAGAGGCCCGTTGCACCACCACAAACCAACTTCCCGTTCGGTTCGCACCCACAGGTGGCATCTCTGGCGAACGAACTCCTTCATATTCAAGTTGGAGAGGTGATCTCGATCGCAGTGCGCCACTGCTACCTAACCAGCTCCGAGTCATGGCGTAGCTACCTTGAAAAGCGATTGCGGCGTTGGGCTTGGTTGGAAATTTATAAGTTGGAACCAGAGAATCGTCCCTTGCGATCGCTGAACGTTCGACAACTAGTCTCGGATCTTCCACACTTCGAAGTACCGCAGTCGTGGGACTTTGCAGATGATCAGATTCCGATCTGGTACCACGAGTGGAATCACCAGTGTGACGGCAAAGACTACGTGGGATAAACAAACCAACACGGTCCCGCACGAGCTGGCCATTGTGACAACCAACCAAGCCCAGGTCGAGCAGAGCAGACATGAGACGGACTGCACATCGGAACAGTCGGGTTGTGAACGTTTTATTGCGAGGTTGCGCCAGCCTGATTGCCTTGATGATAAGTATGTCCTCTTTACTGAGGAGATTTGTTGTCTGATGAGTACCTTGCCCGCACGAGTTGAAGGACGCGGTCATGGCGGGCCCTGGCAATACGACGGGTCGTCCGCTTCTCGACATGTAGATTACTTGATGTCCGGTACGTGCAGGTGCTAGATCCAGGGAAAGGATAGTTAGTGTCTCAAGGCGTGCAAAATTCGGAGGCGCTTGTCGCCGCGTCGGAATTTTCCTTGCAGGACAGGGGCATGCGCCGTCCAATTCTTAGCCACAACCTATTATCGTAGCTCATCCGATTCTTACCTGCAAATCCGCGAGTGTGTGGCAACGTACTGACCGGCTAGGCACACACATGTGTCATCGACGACAAGCGGGTACATGCCCACGCCCAGCATAACAACGATGTCCCCGGGCAATTGGCCGCAGGTCCTTCAGGACGTGTCCATCCGGCCAATTGGGGTCCGCCAGCCCGAAGACCGTACTCGAGGACGAGCATGGAAGCCCAGCCTACAGCGCACTTACGGCTGCCATGGAACGTTTGATGGTCAGTCGTCGCCGAATCAGCAGGTGGACACAGCGCAGAATTTGTCGCGCATTTTGGTCATCACCGACCACGTCGCCTACGCAAGGATAGAAAAATAGAAGGGCCGTTTTTCGGCCCAAAGGTACCTGCAGGACCTTCGCTCCTTGAACCAGAATGGCGACATGGTGTTGTGAGCTTCCTGTATCCACTCGAGTCTCGCTGCAATGAGCTACCTGAGGCCTCGGTTTGCCAATATGCACCTGTCATGCAGTCAGATATGAGGGGTTTCTGTGGACGTCACCTTTGCTTTGAATTCGACCGCTTTGGGCTCCATGCGTCTCATCTACCCGAACATTGCCACCGCGACTGCAAATCGGCTCGGACGTACGGGTCGAAACTGCGACCCGTGGCTTTCGGGTGCGTCTACCCAACCCTAATTGCCACCGTACCTTCTTTTGCAAACTATTGTCGTTCAGCCACCACGACGGCGACAATAATTATTGGCATTTTCGGCTGGTCTCCGCGGTGATCTACGCACGCATTCAAAGCTCACACCCGAGTGTCTCCGTGTTTCAGACCTATTTTTCCACCTATTCACACAATGGACCGGGCACAGAAAAGAACTTACCTGGTCTACAGCCGTGGCCTGAACCCCGAAGACCTGACGTTAGGGAGTCTTCACCTCGATCCAGCAAACCCCCTCGAAAGTGAGCGCAAAAGCTTTCCATTCCCATACTCGTAAGCTCCTTCCTATCCACTTCAATCGATGGCGCTCATTCTCATCCATTTTGACTGATCAAGTCCAGAAACGTTTTCCGAATGGACAGGGCCTGCCCAGGTTGATGAGCCCTGCTCGCTCTCTACTACCGCCGGCCGCGAATGGCTGGCTGGAGCAGGTGTATTCGGCGCCTTGAAAGGCCGAATCGGTCGAAATGGGTCGGTTGAAGTCAGAGTCACGGGTCAGACGGGGCGCCGACTTCAGATTAAGAGGTACGTTCGCAGCGGCTGTCAAAGGTATTGCAGTTCCATGCTGACGAGATGGATTTCTGCTGCGGCTGGCAGGCCCGAACGCTTCTTGAATGAAGTCCTCCTGTTGTCGTCAGCGGCAAGGACGTGGTTAGCAACACAGCTTTCTGTATCCCGTCGCATGTCCCGCACCGCCTGGGCATGGTCAAGGGCTTTCCAGCATCCTCGCATCTGGATGGTAACCGGCGTTCAATACATTTCAGGTGCACATATCACCGACTCGGCATCGAAAGGCTTCTCTGTCTCCTTCGATCTCACTCTACCTCTGCCTGAGCCAGTGGCCGCGCTGGCCCTGGGTGTAGGATCCGACGGGCCGGGCAGCCTCGGAATTACGACTTCGCGGCAGCGGAGCGGCCAAAGCCAAATGGAGTATTACCACACTAACGAGAGGGTCTGGGCTGCTCAATTCGCTGCCTTGAATGTGAAATACTACTGGTCAGACGAGAGGGCTCGTCCTCGAGCCCTGCCAGATTTGATCAGACTGCATGATCCGGTTGACCTTGGCCCTACTGGCATTCGGAGCGGTGATGGCCCAGGGGATGTTGAGCAATTCGCTGACATACTGGGACTGGAAGAAGAGAGTGAGGAAGGTGGCACCCCAGTGCTTGATGCTATGCTGGACGTTGATTGGGGGCTCATGGACGAATACCTATCAATGGGTTACGATGAACAGGCTGGTGCCAAAAGGGCACTGAAGGGGTGAAGGTGTGTGCGCTGAGATTTTCGGCCTGCCACACTTGACGCGACCGTGAAAAAGAATCTACTGCATTAGGTCAACTCCCGCGCATAGCATTGACGTGGATAGATAAACAATTCATCTTAAGGTCTCGAGCCATGATTGAGCCATAAAGAAGCATCCTACAAATGTCTTGAAATAGCCTTGCGTCAACACATTGAGTTAGTGAATAGAAAGTGATGCTTAGAGCTGCTAAATACCTTTCTGACTGGGAGCCGAGAACACTGCGTTGACGGTGACGAGGGCCTTGCTAAGCTGGGTTCGGCACTTAGGACCCTCACGCCGGCGGAAGGCCCCTCGGGAAAGTGTGTACGGTTCGCTCGAGGATGGCCCATCTCGGGTCAATGTTTCTCTGTCTCACCTCTCCAGGATCCCTATACGCCGACTTGTCCTTGGTGGCGTCAACTAAATACTTGTCCAGGGCGCCATTCACTGGAAGTGAGCTAAGGCAGATCTCGTCCCAGGAAACGTGGTCTGCAGACGATGCGAACATTGTGAAGATGTCTGTGATAGCTGAAGGGTCATCCGGGCGGCTTTTCGGAGGTATTTCCATCGGCATTGCCAAGTCCGACAAGGGAGTAATACCAGGTCCAGTGAGGTTGGACACTCGGCCTTCTTTATGGCTGGGATCAAGTTTTCGAATACCCCATGATGCCGTGAAACAATACAGGGAGAGATGGACAGCTCCTGGACCATCATATCCCTGCGACACTCCAACTTCTTCGCCCTCCTCCACACTGACGCTATCGTCAGCACCTTGTGCGGCTGCTAAAGAGCTGGAGATGTTCAAGATCAAATTTTTCGTTTGGATATGCCCAGTCCTCGGTATGTCATACAGTTGTCGCAACGCCTGGAAACGTGCTACGTGGCTGAGGACATAGGCTAATTTATCTGTGCCGGACTTGTCGTGTATAGAGATCCTAGGTAACCGAGGTAGTCGAGCATCGTTTTGGAGTATTTCATAAGTTTGCTCTCCATCAATCCGGACCGTGAAGTCGATCTTGCCAGTGTTACCAAGTGTGAGCCGAGGGCATCTCTCGAGTTTATTCTTGACCTCTGCTTGAAGGTCCATATCGGTCGTGATGAACTCGACAAACTTTTGGGCTGGGAGTGCCCATTGGCGGAGGACAGCACACCATTCACGGCCATCATCTGTGTTCAAGCTTCCGGACATCAGCACAGCCGTTGCCTGGAAAGGAGATACTTGAGTGACTCGTGCTTGTAGTTGTGGAACGCCGTCCTGTTGAATGAAGCCCGAGTCCCTCGGCAAAACATCGTAGAGAGCCCCAACGGCAACACCTTGAACGTTGCCAATATCTAAGCTGATTTTGCTGCCTTCGAGAGCTGTAACGCGGCAAGCAGGTCGTGGGACATACGAAGCCGTTCCCAGAAACTCGTACCACCCGTCTCCGAGGACTGTTGGCGACTGTCTCACCATCAGTTCGCGAAACTTGGTTTTGACGTGGTCTAGCACGCGCGCATGCGAGGGAAGCGCACTGCCGCTCCGACCACGCAGTATACTCAAGACGCCGTACGTAAATGCGCCGTGCTTGTTTGTGGAGTCGCCAAACCGCCCCTCGCCAGCTACTTCGTGCGGTCCACAAGCTGCGAGTATGGCGCATCCGGTAGGATTTGATAACCAGCTCTTCTGGACTGGCCCTGTGTCTCGCTGAGCAAGAGAATCAATCATCAGATCCGTGTCGATGTCGGCGGCCTTGTCGCTTTCTAGCGATGAGTCGTCGTACTGGTCCGGGATGGTGCGTGGCCTGAGCTCCGGATTTCTGATGCCCCTGCCCGAAAAGCAGCAGTCCAGTACCAGTGTGACTCGTAGACCCTTCTCCACCATTTTCCGAACGCGGGTGCCGAGATGGTATGCAGTCAAGTAAGGCCCACCTCTGAGAACATCCGTCATCACTAACGCTGAGCCCAGCATCCCGTCGCCTTCAGAGTCGGGCGGAGCGGCATTGCGACGGATGCCATGGCCTGAGTAGTGAATGTAGACGAGATCTCCTGGGGCGGCTGCGTTTGTGATGCGATTCAACTCGCGCACGATATTCTGGCGCGTCGGCCAACGTTCCTCGTCCTCGATCGGCCGTCCTTCCCCACGGGTCGCTGTCAGTATCGCTATCTCGCTCACGCCTATGCAGACCAGGAAGTCTCGCATGGCATGGACATCTTGAACACAGCCTTCGAGATCTGGAAATCGTAGTATTTTGTTCCCGTGATTCCTAGCCTTGCCGTCGAAGTAGAAGTTGCCGCCGCAGAGCAGCGCCCATCTTTTTGCTACCATGGCAACTAAATATTGGCGACTTCGAAAACCGATCAGTAAAGGAGCGATTTCAGTGTAGATGATGGATTGTCAGCGCACAGAAAAGCGCAAGAGAACACAACAAAACTCAAGGTGAAATTCAATTTCGAAACTTGGGGAGGGTCGACTTACCTACCAGCGCAAGAATCGTCCAATGCTGATATGCGTCGGCTATGCGCGCTTATGTCGCGAGGTTGGCAGGCTCTCCACCACCCACAGCCTCCTACAATGTGAAAGCTGGAGACGTCCAGCCGCAAATCCTTCAACCGCACATCACCCAAGCGCTGTGGCTGAATGCACACTGTCGGCTGAGGCGCTACTGTAAATAGATTCGGTGCAATCAGCGCTCGCAATGAGCCGCGCTGTGATCAAATGAGCCCACGGCCACGTCGAGCGGACCCTCGTGGTCAACATCGACTGGCCAGACCTGCGGGCTCGACCGTCAGCCAGGCTGAACTCCCGGGCCGCCCTCACACCCCTTCGATTCTCGACCAGATCCTGCAGTAGCCTTCAGCCCACGACGGAGCCAGCCATGGCAACGGGCAGACCTCACGCGACCAACGATAAGCAGGAGCATCCCCGGAGCGCGGCGCCCGGATTGGGCATCCAGGCCCTTGGAATGAGGGCAATGCTGCTGCCTGGTAGGCTGCAGGCTACCAGTGGTGCCCTGGCCTGTGATGAGCGGCAGGCAGCTTGGCTGGACCAACGAGAATGCAGAGTGAGAAGAGGCCCTAACGACACCACGTTGCCGCCAGAAACTCGTCCTGCGCACCCGCCTGTGAGTTCGGTTGGGGACGGGCAAGGGTGGCCAACGCCGTTACCGCTGGGCAATGATGTGAAGCGTCCAGAGATGCATGGCAGTGTGCAGCTAACTTTGGAATTGTTCTCTCCCTGTGCCACCTACTGTAGCTCCTTGCTTAACATGGGTTTCAATCTGACCTGCTCGAAGGTTCGTTTTAGCCACACGTCGACAGCTACAAGTGTCTGCTATCATGCCGTTGTCACGGAACCCTTCCATAGGCAATGTACTCTTTGCTCCAAAAAATGTGCGACGAAGCGCGTGTTCGTTGGCAGAGTCCCAGGAATATCCCACAATAGATGAACAGAATAAGCTGTTTATTTGCACGCGATTACTCCTTTTGACACCCGTGCGTGTGGAAGGGTAGCTTCCTGTTCGTCGGCCCAGACCACCCGGACCTCCGTCGGCGCTGCCGAATCCCGGACGATGGGTGCCGCGATGGCCCAGCTCTATGTCGATCCAGGTCGCGTCGCCGCCGACGACACAGATGACCATATACTGCACCTATGCAATCAAGCGGTAGACCTAGCAGAGGCATACTCCAGAACCGATAACGCGGAAAGTATCAACGAAGCCATCAGCATCATGGATCAGGCAGCAGAGATGCTGCCGCAAGGACACATTCGCCGGGCTAGCGTGTCTGGAAACTTGCTTGCAATGCTCGAGATGCGGTTCGAACGTACCGGCTCTGTGGACGACCTCAATCATGTTATCAACCTCGCCGGCCAAGAACTTGAAGGCATGCCCCAAAATCACACTGATCGGGCTGCCTGGTTAGATAACCTCGGATCCTGGCTGAGCAGGCGATTCGAACAGGCCGGTTCAGTGGACGACCTCAACCGTGCCGTTGACGTCGCCGGCCAAGCTGTGGACATTACACCCCAAGGTCACCCAGATAGAGCTTGCTGGTTAACCAACCTCGCAATCAGGCTCGAGATGCGATTCAAACAGACCCGCTCCATGGACGACCTAAATCATGCCGTCGATCTCGCCAGCCAAGGTATACAAGCCACGCCGCAAGACCATCTGGATCGACCTAACCGTTTAAGCAACCTGGGAGTCAGGCTGAGCACACGATTCAAACAAACTGACTCAATGGACGACCTCAACCGTGCCATTGATGTTACCAGCCAAGTCATAAGCACTACGTCCCAAAACCATCCAGATCGAGCTCACATCCTGAATAACCTCGTCACTTTGCTTGGCACGCGATTCACACGGATTGATTCGATAGACGACCTTAATCGCGCCGTTGACCTGGCCAGCCAAGCAGTGGACGCTACACCACAAGACCATCCTGATCGGGCTGCCTGGTTAGACAACCTCGGATCCTGGCTGAGCAGGCGATTCGAACGGACCGGTTCCATGGACGACCTTAACCGTGCCATTGACGTCTGCGACCAAGCTGTAGACGGTACACCCCAAGATCACCCAGATCAGGCTATCTGGTTAACCAACCTCGGCATCAGGCTCAACACGCGGTTTCAACAGAACGGCTCCATGGACGACCTCAACCGTGCCATCGACGTCGCCGGCCAAACAGTGGATATTACTCCCGAAGACCACTTTGATCGGGCTAGCTGTTTGATCAATCTCGAAATAAAACTCAGCAGGCGATTTGAACAGACCGGTTCAATGGATGATCTTCATCGTGCCATCAACCTCGCCGGCCAGGCTGTAGACATTACACCACAAGGTCACCCAGATAGAGCTAGCTGGTTAAACAACCTCGGAATCAGGCTCGAGATGCGATTCAAACAGACGGGATCCATGGGCGACATCAACCGTGCCGTTGATGTTGCCAGCCAAGCGGTAGATGTTACACCCCGAGACCACCCTGATAGAGCTGGCTACTTGAGCAATCTTGGAAACTCGCTCTACATACGATTCGAACAGAATGGCTCCATGGACGACCTCAATCGCGCTATCGACGTCGCTGATCAAGCAGTAACTGCCACGCCACGAGATCACGCTGGTCGAGCTGGCTGGTTAAGCAACCACGTAGCTTGGCTCTGTAGGCGATTCGAACGGACCGGCTCCATGGACGACATCAATCGTGCCATTGACCTTGCTGGCCAAGCACTACAATCTACAGCCAAAGACGATACAGATCGAAGTGCACGCCTCAGCAACCTTGGAGCCTGTCTCAGCAGGCGATTCGAACGGGCTGGCTCAATGGATGACCTCGATCGTGCCATTGGCCTTGCTGGCCAAGCACTACAATCTACAGCCAAAGACGATACAGATCGAAGTGCACGCCTCAGTAACCTTGGAGCCTGCCTCGGCAGGCGATTCGAACGGACCGGCTCTATGGACGACATCGATCGTGCCGTCAACGTTGCGAGTCGAGCAGTAGATGCCACACCACAAGGCCACACTGATCGACCTTGTTACTTGAATAACCTCGGGGACCTCCTCTGCAGACGAGCGACACATACCAGGTCTCTGGATGACCTCAATCGTGCTGTCGACCTCACCAAGCAAGCGGTCGACGCCACACCACAAGGCCACACTGATCGAGGTCCCACGCTGAACAACCTTGGAAACGCGCTCCGCAGGCGATCCGAACGGACCGGTTCAATGGATGACCTTAATCATGCCATCCACGCCGCCAGCCAAGCAGCGGACGCCACACCACAAGACCATCCAAACCAAGCACTCTGCTTAACTAACCTCGGAAACTTGTTGGGCATGCGATTCTTACGGACTTACTCAATGGACGACCTCAACCGTCACTTTTCAACATGCAAAAAAGTTTGGCATTGCCATACGGCGCCCCCGTCAACTCGTATAAAAATGGCTGGATATGTCGCCCAAACACTTGCTCATGTATCAGATTGGGAATCACTTGCCCTTGTACCAGATTGGGAAAGTTCAAGTCAGCTGTTAGAGGAAGCCGTCGCTCTCCTCCCCACTCTAAGTCCGCGCTGGCTGAGACATACTGACAAGCAGCACATGCTTGCCGGCTTCGCTGGCTTGGCTTCAACGGCTGCCAGCACTCTTCTCAATGCCCGGAAAGATGCGTATGATGCCTTTCGGCTGCTCGAACTCGGCCGCGGCGTTATCGCCAGCTTGTTTATGGATATGCGCGGGGATATTTCTGATCTTCAGCAACAGCATCCTGACGTGGCAAACGAGTTCATATCTCTTCGAGACGAGCTGGACTCACCAGCAGACAGTTCGAGTTCGAGTCTTCCAGCTGCTATCGATGAGGTATATTCCTGGGAATTGCGAGCACATCGTCGTCTTGAAGCGGACCAGTCTTTCGGTACTCTTATTTCGAGGATTCGTGCTCAGCCTGGTTTCCGGAACTTTCTCCTTCCGCCGACCGCAGATGAGCTGATGGCCGCGGCAAGCTTGGGTTCCGTTATTGTTATCAACCTAAGCCCGTACCGCTGCGATGCGTTCCTGATTGAGACGAATCAGATTCAGGTGCTAGAATTGCCTGACCTGACCTTGAAAGGAGTCCAGGAACGAGCCCAGAAGCTGCGATCCGTCTCCCATGCAGCAACTTACGATGCAGCACCACTGCTTGAATGGCTCTGGGATGTTGTCACTCGTCCAGTCCTCGACGCACTTGGATTTGATGGTCCCCCTGTCGACGACAACTGGCCTCGTGTGTGGTGGGTTCCCACGGGAGTCCTCAGCCAGCTGCCCCTCCACGCAGCAGGGTACCACACAAGAGGTGGTCACGAAACCGTGATCGACAGGGTCATGTCTTCGTACGCCTCGTCGGTCAAGGGACTAATACACGGACGACGGTTCGATGTGCAAAGGTCGGTCGGAACACTCCATGGGAATGCTCTGTTGGTTGGCATGCGCGAAACACCAGATCTAACTGCAAACCGGGTGCTTTCTTTCGTTACGGACGAGATAGAGATTGTACAGAGCCTCTGCCCTTCGCTCGGATTGCGCCCAATGAGACCGACGCTGCGCAAGGACGATGTGCTCAAGCACCTGCAAGCATGCAGGATCTTCCACTTTGCAGGCCACGGGCAATCGGATCCGGACGAGCCCTCTCGAAGTTGCCTGCTCCTCGAAGACTGGAAATCAGACCCACTGACGGTGGGACACATCCGTGAGCACAGAGTACAAGAAACTCCACCGTTCCTTGGTTTTCTCTCCGCGTGTTCCACGGGGGCGAATAAGGTTGACCGACTCGTTGACGAGGGCATCCATCTTGTGAGTGCCTTCCAGCTCGCTGGTTTTCGGCACGTTGTCGGGACGCTCTGGGAGGTGTCGGACCAGCACTGCGTGGATGTGGCGAGAGTACTTTACGAGACATTGCGGGACGAAGGGATGACAGACGTGGCGGTCTGCCGAGGACTACATAGGGCCACTAGAGCTCTACGTGATGGCGGTTTTGGGGCGGGATTGATGGGAACGGAAAGCAGTTCGGCCGGGATCGCGGATGTATACGACAGGACGGAAGTTGTGGAGGCGAATACTTGCGAGATGCCCGAGCATGATACTGGCATGTCAATGCTGACACTTGAGGAGAGAGACCCAGGTCGAGTGCGCAAGAAAGGAACGGATATGTCATTACTTTGGATTCCATACGTCCATTTTGGAGTCTGAGCTACTTTTTAACACAGTGAAAGAGCTGCTGAGCTTGACATGTTTTTTTCGTAGGGAGGGATAATGGCTTCCGTACAGGCATCGTTGTACACCAAGCAGCTTATCGCAGCCAGTAGCAGCAAGAGAAAAGAAACACGACCAAGGGTAAAGAAAGACGAAAAAGAAAAAGAAAAAGGAACAGAAAAAAGCCCCGGAAGGTGCAAGCCACGTCATCATCCCAAATGCCCGGGCGACATTGCTTGTTGTGTCACCGCGCGGCAGTAACTCCGGGTCGCCTCAAGTAGTGTCCTCGACTCGTCACCTAGTGATGCGAGATATTGTCCATGTGTTCATGTCGTATGCAGACTAGGTGCATGATCAGAGGGTTGGATAGTCCAAAAGACTGCTGGACGTCGTGGACCATCGAGTAATCCGCCTCATGCACGCGCTCACCTGTGGTTCGGCTCTGCACAGTGACCCCTAGCGCTGGAAATGTCAGACTCGTCCGGTACTCGCAAAAGAGATTAAACCTAAGATCTGGCACCAAACGATCGAGATGATCTATCATAGAGTTGGCCGCGTTTGCTGCCAGCAGTTCCCCCACGTCAAACGACGGCAGCGAAAACACGTGCTGGTAGAAGTTGAGGAGCTGCCGTCGCTTCCACTCTACTGTCCCGTGAAAGGCGTACTCTATTTCGGATGGGATAGATAGATGAGACTCATTTTCGAAGAAGGCATAACCGCTGGGGTATTTGCGGCAGTGGAAGCATGAACAGAACCTGCCAGACAGGGCGTGCTTGACCTCGGTGACCAGTCGATAAGCACTAACATCTCGGGGCACTGGAAGTCCAGGTCGTATGCTTTGGTCCAGCAAGTTTGCAATGTCAATATTCTGATTTCTGAAAGGTCTATAGTATGATCTTGGCAGCCGAGACGCTCAGCAATGTGGCCAAGAGGCAGCTGTCGTTCCGATAGCTGCAAGTATGTAGGTCGTAGCTGCCGGCGTTGGGCATGTGTACTGCAGTAGCAGAACCCAAAAAGGAGCCACTCTTGATCAAAGGGAGTCGGAATATTGTTAAATGGCCGTAGAAGCTTGGAGTACAATCGCAGAACCCTATTCTCCTTCCGGGGGCAGGACTTGCCACTCAGTCGGGATTGGAGCGAGTCGGAACGGGGTGTTGACGAATTGGAGAGCGAACAATTGATGTCGATATATTCCATGTATAGATAGCTGGGGAAGACGATCTGACGTGTGCTCATTCAAATGCCATGAGAATGCCTTGTCCGGATGACCTCGTCTTCGGCATTGCATGGCGAGAAACGGTGCGGAAATGTAACAAACCGAACGACCACACACAAACGTCCGAGCTGCTTCCGTGAACACCTCTACAGCGTGGTAGCTACGAGCCAAATACAGCAGAGTCGTGGAACAGTTTCTTTGTGAGGATCCGCCCACAAATTGGCGGTTGTGCCACCTCACCGTGGTCCGACCTCCAAAGATGTAGCGCGCTCCTCGTGAGATTTTCGAGCTCAGGACGCCATTCAATCTCGACGAAAAGTGCCCACTTTCGCACCAACTCAGCTTGCTCCTTCGATGAGGCGGGTAGCCACCTGTGGCCGTTCAGTGACGTGGCGCACAATCACCCCCCAGTGGGGGGGGGGGGGGGCAGGGCGGCGATGTTGAGCGATCGTTAGGGCTGACCTGGCCAACAAATGTGGCTCCACAAGACTATCTAACCGCAGCTGTGACACCACCTCTCGACCCGCGGCTTCCATCCCTGAGCGCCGCCAGTAATACACACGGGGATCGCGGAGTCACCGATTGGGCATACGACCCTTGCAATGAGGCGAACTGCTGCTGCCTGGCAGGCTGTGGGCTGCCTGGCAGGCTGTGGGCTGCCTGGCAGGCTGTGGGCTGCCAGTGGTGGTCCAGCCTGGCGTGAGCAGCGGGGAGTAATTGACCTGGACCAATGGGGAATGCAGATACCTTATGGCTGAGTGGGCCGTCGGACGGCCACTTTCGTTAACTTCGGTTCGGACGGTTTCAGCGACTTTATATGGTTGCCGGTTGATGAGTTGTAGGCATCAGCAATGCCAGCCGAATTGGTCGCCTCGCCTTTCGATGGTATGCTGTAGCATGGCGGACCACTGAAGGCTCGCTCCGGTTATCATGCCCAACGAGCCCCACTCTCGTCCAGGGCAGCTTTCCTTTCGAATTGACTTAAACAGCGCCCCTGATCCTTCCTTGACGTAGAAAAGGCTCATGAACTTTACAGTAGCCTCCCATGGATCCATTAACCGAGAAACTCAAGGACCTCGACCTTTGTTCTGCTTGCCTGCGCTTCAATCCCACAGGAGACGCTGCAGAGAAAATCAGGGCCAAACTCTCGCAAACGCCAAGATATCTGTTCCGCGTGTACGACAAAAAGACATCAAGTGCTACAGACGCTAGGTGGGTAAGATCTTTGGACGCAATCAACGCCGAAAGGAATCATGCGAGCGACATCTTCATGCGGTCGGATACTCGCGCCGTGGCTCAAGAGCTGAACGAGCATCTTCGGTGGTGGCACACCACATCGGGGAAGAACAACATAGTCTCATGGACAAGCTCTCTGCCCTTCGCACTTGCATATGGTGTTTATAGAAACACGTCGGAACGCTTGAAGTCACCGGTACAAGAGATTCACCTCTGCGTCGTCGACACCTCCAAACTCCCACACGGGGCCTTCATCAATGATCTTGATTTGATGCAAGAATACTCTGGAGAATTCGGGCCCGATGAACATATCCCGATTTGGATTAGGAATCAGCCGTCAACGGGTCCATGGCGCCAGTTTGGTCTGCCGAATCTCATCGAATTCCGAAGGACGCCGGATAAGGATGGTCGTCGACATGGACAGTTCAGCGCCTATAATTACTTTGGGGAGTACCTATCGCAGGGTGCACTGAAGATCGAATCAGCGTGCACTATTTTGAGTTTCAACAAAATTCTCGGTCCGAACCTGTATACAATTTACCCTGGTTTTGGTTGCAAGGCCAACAGAGATCAAGCGAAATGGGCAACGGCCGTGCTTGAGCTCCGCGAAGCTTTCTACGACGGTGGTACACCGGAATTGTGTTCTCCTGCAGAAATAGAGGCATCTCTTTCGGTCGCAGCTAATTTCGAATCGCAGTGGAGACTAGTCATTGCTGCCAGTCTAATCTCCATTCGCCCAAGGAGAAGTGACGAACAAACAATAATTACTGCGCTGCGTGAACTCATTATGGGCAGGTGCCGAGAGATTAACCCAAATGCTCATTTACAGTACTGACTCTCGTTTCCAGACATCGATACCCTGGATTTTTCCCAATTGGAAGATTTAGGGAATACGGATTACGGCCTACCTGAAGTTGAGCAGTTTCATCAGGTCGCCGGGCAGGTTATAAGGGATCAGAAACGCTTAGCTGTCGATACGCTTGTGAAGCAGCATTTGCGACTGACTGGTATTAGCTATCCCTGATGTCGGGGCCGGGGAGCCAATACAGGCACGGACCCCCGTGCCTCTAATCCGGAACAACATTCGGCCCGCCCACTGAGACGCAAACACCATGCCATTCCTACGATATTGACCGTGGCCAACACGCGTTGTCCAGCGCATTCAACGCAATATGGACCCAAAAATAAGAACCAGGGAATTCCCTGCTGATTGTCTTCCTCCCGAGGGCAAATTTGAATCTTGAGACGCCCTATTTGCTGCCATCAATGCCTGGGCAGCGCCTCGCGGCTATGCTTTTACGACGGGCAGATCAACAAGGAAGAAGGCTAATGGGCGACCTACCGTCACGTACACGTGCGATCGAGCAGGCCGGCCAGGAGCACACAGAGGAAAGGGTGCCAAACCAATGGACCCGAAACGGCAGACCAGTACACGTATTACCGGGTGCCAGTTCTCAATCAACGCGAAGCAGGATCCCGACGGCACCCAGTGGCACGTCAAACATCGTCCCGGTACCCAGTTTGCCGTCCACAATCATGAGCCCAGCCCGCATATATCAGCACATCCAAGTCTCCGCGCCCTCTCCGCAAGCGATGAGGCGACGATTAGCGACCTCACGCAAGCTAGTATTGCGCCGAGAGACATCCGCACCTACCTGCGCCAAAACTCGTCGTCTGGCGGGGTGGCGACGCAACAAGATATATATAACTGCATCGCGAAGAGCAAGCGAGCGCTTTGCGAAGGACAAAGCACGATACAAGCCCTCGCCAACGAGCTAGACAGTCAGGGGCTCTGGAGCCGGATCCAGCTCGACCAAGCCCGCCGAGTAACTGCAGTCTTATTCGCCCACCCGGAATCATTGGCTTATCTCCAAGCATATCCGGAGCTGCTCATCCTGGACTGCACCTACAAGACGAACAAGTATAAGATGCCACTCCTCGACATGATTGGGGTGGACGCTTGCCAACGCTCGTTTTGTATCGCCTTTGCCTTCCTTAGCGGCGAGGCCGAAGAAGACTTCATTTGGGCATTGGATCGGCTACGCTCCATGTATGACATGTGTGGCGCCTCACATCCATCTGTGGTCCTTACGGATCGCTGTCTTGCTTGCATGAACGCTGTGGCTCATTGCTTTCCCGGATCCATCTCCCTTCTATGTCTCTGGCACGCAAATAAGGCAGTACTGGCCTACTGCAGACCTGCGTTCGTGCGCCGCGAGGGTGACGAGCAAAGCATTGAGAAATGGACGGAATTCTTCGGGTACTGGTTTGCAATCGTCAATTCCATAGACGAAGAAGCATATAACCGACAGCTTGACGAGCTTGAAAGACGCTATGTGCCAGAGTACGTTGACGAGGTTAGCTACATCAAGCAGACGTGGCTTAACTTGTACAAGGAGAAGCTCGTGAAGGCCTGGGTTGACCAGCATGCTCATTTTGGCAACAACGTCACATCTCGGGTTGAAGGCATCCACGCACTCTTGAAGGGGCATCTCAAGAACTCACAACAAGACCTTTTCACGGCATGGAATCGGATCAAGCAGGCACTGCTGAACCAGCTCGCCGAACTTCGAGCTAACCAAGCCTGTCAGCAAATACGGACGCCACTTGACTTATCTGGACCACTCTTCAGCACCATACGTGGATGGGTCTCTCACGAGGCGCTGCGCAAGGTCGACCAGCAAAGGAGACGACTTGAAAGTAATATCCCTGCTTGCACGGGCGCATTCACTCGGACTCAGGGTCTCCCATGCGCTCACACACTTCGTCCTTTGGTAGAGGACTGTCTCCCTCTTCAACTCCATCACTTCCACTCCCATTGGCTGCTTTATCGCGGCAGCGAGAAGCCAGAACTCATCACAGAACCTCGTCGGCAATTTGACACGCTTACCGGTAGATCAGCGTCAGCACAGTCGTCTACTCGGCGCGAGCCTAGTTTGTTTGAGGTAACGGAGAAGGCACGGCCAAAAGTAAAGACTGCCCCTACCTGCAGCAGATGTCACACGAAAGGACATACAATGACGTCCCGAGTTTGCCCACTACGGCACTCAGAGCTCATAGAGCAAGTAGCAGCGAGAGCTACATGCGTAGAGACTGCGGAGACTGCACATCCTACCGAGGCTACGCGAATTGCGGTAATTGAAGAGGCTGCCGAGAATGAAAATGCTGCGCAAACCGCACATGATGCACGACATGCATCGAATACAGCAATTGGAGAGGGTGTGCAAACGGAGACTACGCGAAGCGCAATAATCATGGAGGCTGCGCCAACCGGGGAGGCCGCGTCGGTTGGAGGGGATGCGGAGTATGTCCAGTCGACAACAAGTACAGCGTTCGTCGACGCTCCAGCGACCACAGAGTCTCTGCCATCTGCAGAAAAGGCTGTCCCGGCCGTTGAGCATCTACGGTACGACGACCCACGTGTGATATATGAGAGGTATGTGAAGGCACGGGAGGCCTGGTACAAGGCGCAGCCTCGTGGCAGCATCAAGACCAACCAAGCATACCGCAAGGCAATGGGTCTTCTGCAAAGATACGACAAACAGAGTTTTAAACGGTGCTTGGACTACAAGCAGATGTCTGCACGCTGTCTAACCTCGACTGGGCTAAGAAGCTGGACAAAAGAGGAGCAGATGGCATATTTAGACTGGAGTCGGGCAGAAGACGAACGTGTGGAAGCCCAAGTTGCGAGGGAAATGGGGGACAATCCCCTCACGAACACGAGAAGGGGTATGAAAGAGATATGGCGACGGGTCGAGGAAGATTGCCGAGAGCAAGAGGCTTTGCATGCGGTAGCCGGTAGTGCAGACGAGTGTATCTTTGTCAAAACCTAGAAGCATTCGGCTACGCTGTTGGCTGTGTCTTCGCGTTGCGACACGTTCACTAGGACTTAAGCCCGTAGGTGACTTATTAGGGGGAGCCACTGCGCTGAATGTCGCCTTACATAATGGAGGCACGGGGGTCCGTGCCCCTTAAAGGCACGTGGGTCCGTGCCTGTATTGGCTCCCGTCGGGGCCGTGTACCTTTACTAATCAAGTCGCATGACTTAGATGTACTCGCCAAATTTGGAGACCACCTGTCAGCTCTGAAGAACTCAACTGTTAGCGGGGAAGAACCTGGCTGTACAACATCCAGCTGCTTTGTTACCGAGGATATCGACGCAGCCTACAATCTGGTCTGGCAGTGCACTGAACAGTTTAGAGATGAATTTGTATGTTTCAGACGCATCACCACCGTCGCACGACATTAAAGGCCGGGGAGTGCATCGAGCACCTGAGAAGACACGTTCGGTCTTGTCTGACATGGTGCAATCGAAAGTACATTTATCGCCATCTTGTGCAATCGTGGCTATTCCAGCCGCTGCTCCTCCCTGGTCCACCACGCAAGGGGACTCACTGTGATCTTGCAGGGAGAACCGTTTATGAACTTGTCCAGCTCATCCCCGCCGTTGTCCGCTTTCGTAACATCGAGAGACTGCGCCAGCCTATCGTACACTATCATATGCATCTCCCGAGCCTCCACCAGAGGAGTCTCAGCAGGAAGGTCCTTCTATTGACTACAGATCTTCCTGGTTTTGTTGATCGCTCCGTTATGTCAATCGGCATGCCAGTTCTGGTGGAGGTATTTCAGCCGTTTTGGTGGATGGGGGCTGAAGCGACGCTGCCCAAGGATTCAGAACAAGCCGCAGTGCTCTGCTGGTATTACAGTACAGTAATTGAATGTGACAAAACTTTCGCGAGCAGAACGGTCGTCAAGATTGTTAAGCAGTGAGCACAGAGAGCCCGAACCTTCTGAACATGCATCGAGCGTGTGGTGCCAGGGATACAGACCACAGCCGGCCATTCGCCCAGTTGGACCCTGACGGCGGAGAGTCATCGCGATGAGATGATACCCGTACGCCTAGCCTCATGCATGGCTTGGTACAAAATCTAAAGAAAAAGTAAACCAGTTCAATTCATCAATGAGTAGGGAGGAGGCGATTCGACTCCACCTGAACTGACTTGTGAGCAGCCCCATCTCTCTCGCCATAGGCTCCCTCGTTCGTATGACCAGGCGAGCTCAATGGTAAGCTCGCGATCTGTCCCAATAACTTCCTGCACTAGCGTTAGAGCAGACTGAAACCCAGCCCCCAAAGCCAGCGATGTTTTCATGACGAGTGCGGCGGAGATCGGATGGCGTTGATGTGGTTCCCGGGCCTGGTATGGGAGCCGTGATTCGTCCAAATCTGCATCTGCGGTACTGTGGTACATACTCGTCATGATACATTTCGGCACAGTCCTTATGTAGCGTACCATTCGTTGGCGTAATTCTTGGTCGGTTTGACAGTACGTGACGTGGCCGCGGATAAAGACGCATACTTAAAATATTACGCCGGTAGCGGGCTTTACGACTATGCGACCCTAATCCGATTCGTAAAATGCCCTGGCGGTCGTCCAGGCCTTTTGCTTGGCCGGCGGCTGTGCCAATGATCGATCATAGTACCTTTACTCACCTCCTTTACGGACATAGGACACACCGGCAAGCTTAGCTGGACACGAAATAGGAGGAAACCCGGTTACGCCATCATACAAAATATCCCTCCGCCATATGGACGGTCAGAATCCCGGTCCCTTGAACTTATGTATTGGTTGATTCAAAGTTGACAGCCTGGCTTTTGCAGATCTATGGCCGCTGACTCGATTGCCACAGCACGAAATCTTGTTCCAGGCTCGGCACGGCCATAGAAGACGACCAGCTTTTGCGGAAATCATCTGGTACGACGTCGAAACGCACGACTTACTGATCACAACCCATTTTATGAGGTCTTCAACGATGATCTGCCTGCCAAGGACTGTTGCTACGGCACAGCCCACGAGGACTGTCAAACAGGAATGGATGACAGGAACTCCGTTCTGTGTGTAGACGCGGTGTTCTTCCGACACCCGTAGTGCCAACTTCCCGGAGGAAGAGCAGGGACATGTCCCTGGCAAGAGCATCCGCTTGACCCAACATCACACGTGGAAACATCACGGTGAACCAAAGCCCTGCGGCATCCTCTTCCGAGGTGTCTGGCTTGAGGCTGTCCAACTCTGTCAAAAATGACAGGTCCGAGCACCAGCACGCATCCGTCGGGAGGCGGCCGACTTGGCGCATTTCTGCCAGCCGTTCCGGTTCAAAGAACTCACAATTACAAAACAACACCATTGGGAGAGTACAGTACACTACTGTAGCAGTGCGGTTTGACGAGATAGGTCCTTTTCTGTGTCTGATCCATGACTCGACAATGTATGAATGGGCGAATAAGAAGGGCTGACACAAAGGGAAACTCTCGACGAGGCCCCTGAATGCCGCGTTAAATCACCCAAGGATATCAATCGAATAAGGCCACTGATGCTTGTCCTCGTGGTGACCGAGGGCTCTCATTTGAAGGCACGGTTGCAATTGGGAATGGCGGTGTTGAGGAACTGAAAGGCACAGGCCACCGTTTCGGCCCGAATCGTCCCATTCAATTTGAGCTTGTGATGGCAAAGTTCGGGCGGCAAATGTCGGGTAGATATATGCGGCCCAAAGCGGTCGAGGTTCAACCACGCCCCTTGGCGGTAGGCATGAACGCGCCCTGGAACTCACCGCTCCAGGCAACACCAACCTCCCGAACGTCCTTGGTGGAGTTCATGCTTCATGGCTACACGCAACTCCATCCCATGCTGCGGGTTCAGTTCCCGGTGACCTCTAACAGCGTCACGTAAAGCCCATGGAAGACCAATACGAACACGTGCAGGAATTGGCCATTGGTGGGCGGCCCAGACCGAGATGAAGCGGACAATCATTCCCGCAGTCAAGCCGCGTCGCCGACGTCGCTTTGTCAAGTCATATTGAATGGCCACAAACCCGAGTTTTTGGTGATCTCTGACAACTCTATGTAAAGCCCAGGGAAGCCAACTCTAGCCGCCTGAAGCCGTGCGAATGGGTTGGTAACAGCGGTCGCCGGCTGCAACAAGTCGACAACCGCCTGCCATTCCCGCAACCAACCCTAGGCCCACAGCTCCGCAATGTTGGAAGGATTAGTACTTGACGGCCATAATAATGCCGACGTCGTTTCGGCCAGCCCCTGACGATCTCTAACAGCAGCACATCTCGCAGCGTTAAAGGCGTGTCTCTCACGAACCCCATAGTGGCATGACAAGGTGAACGTATAGGTAAGTTCGACACCTTGCCGACCGCAAAAATTCCTGTTCAATTACACGCCAAAATGGACGTATGGAGCCCAAAATAGTGACATGTCCTGCCTTTTTTTGCGCCTTACTCGACCTGGGTCTCTCTCGGCACGTATTGAAGTCTGGGCGCCATCCTCCGCCATCTCGCTAGTGGCCGCCACAACGTCTGTTCTGTTGTACACGTCGGCGCTCCCGGCCGGACTATTCCCCCTTGACGTTGACCCCGCGTCCATATCTCCATTGCGTAGAGCCCGAACAGCACGATGAAGTCCTCGACAGACCGCCGCGTCTGTCATCCCTTCATCCCTCATTGTCTCGTAAAGCACCCTCGCAACATCCACGCAGTGCTGGTCCGATACTTCCCAGAGCGTCCCGACAACGTGCCGAAAGCCAGAGAGCTGGAAGGCACTCGCGAGATGAATGCCCTCGTCAACGAGTTTGTCGACACCGTTGGCTCCGGTGGAACAAGCCGATAGGAAGCCAAGGAACGGTGGAGTGTCTTGTAACTTGTGGTCACGTATGTCTCCTACCGTCAGTGGTTTTGTTTGCCAGTCCTCGAGGAGCAAACAACTTTGCGAGGGATCGCCTGGGTGCGACAGCCCATGGCCGGCAAAGTGGAAAAATCGGCACGATTGAAGATGATTGAGCACATCGTCCTTGCGCAGCGTCGGTCTAATCGGTCGTAAGCCCAGCGAGAGACAGAGTTGCTGCACGATAGCTACTTCCTGGGTAACAAAAGAAAGGACACGGTTCTCGGATAGCTCTGGTGTCTCCCGCATGCCAACCAAGAGAGCATCCCCAGGGAATGTTCCGACAGACCTTTGCACATCGAACCGACGTCCATGTATCAATGCCTTGACCGACGAGGCATACGATGACATGACCCTGTCGAGTACGGTGTCGTGGCCGCCTTTTGTGTGGTATCCTGCTGCATGAAGAGGTAACTGGCTGAGTACTCCCGTGGGAATCCACCACACACGAGGCCAGTTGTCATCGGGAATTGGACCATGAAAACCAAGTGCGTCTAGGACTGGGCGAGCGACAACATCCCAGAGCCATTCGAGTAGTGGAATTGCATAATGAGGTGCTGCTTGGGGAACTGATCGCAGCTTCTGGGCTCGTTCCTGGACGCCTTCGATTGTCAGGCCAGGTAACTCAAGGACCTGAATATGCTCGGTCTCAATAAGGAACGCATCACAGCGGTATGGGCTTAGGTTGATGACGACGACGGGACCCAGGCTTGCCGCGGCCATGAGCTCATCTGCGGTCGCCGGAAGGAGGAAGTTCTGGAATCCGGGCAGAGCGCGAATTATGGAAATGAGCTCGTCAAATTTCATGTCCGCTTCACGACGCCGTTTCGCCCGCGATTCCCAAGAGGATGCCTCGTCGGTAGCAGGAAGAAGAGATTGGCTGTCTCCTAGCGAGTCTAGATCGTCTCGGCAAGATATAAACTCGTTTGCCAAATCAGGATGCTGCTTCTGAAGATGGGAAACATCTCCGCGCATCTCCATCAGCAGGTTAGCAATGACGCCGCGACCGAGTTCGAGAACCTGCAAGGCATCATACGCGTCTTTCCGTGCGTTTAGAGCGACGCTCGCTGCCTCTGAAGCCAAGCCGGCGAAGTCGGCAAGCATGTGCTGCTTATCGGTGCTTGTCAACCATCGTGGGCTTATCTTGGGAAGGAGGTTGATGGCTGCCTGCAGCAGCTGATGTGAACCTTCCCAATCTAACCGCGTTGCCAGTAATTGGGCGGCCTGCCTAGCCAGGCGTATACGGATAGGCGGGGCGGCCATGCGGCAGTGCCAACCCTTTTTGCATGACGAAAGCTGACGATCAAGGTCCTCCAAGGAGCGAGTCCGTTCGAATCGCATGCCGAGCCGATTTGCAAGGTTGTCAAAGCAGCCAGCTCGATTTGGGTGGTTTTGGGGAGTAGCATCCACTGCTCGGCCGGCGAGGTCGACGGCGCCATTGAGGTCGTCCATGGAGCCGGTCCGTTCGAATCGCCTACCAAGCCGGTGTCCAAGGGTGGCCAAGAAGACAGCTCGATTTGGGTCGTCTTGGGGAGTAGCATCCACTGCTCGGCTGGTGATGCTGATGGCGCGATTGAGGTCGTCCATGGACCCAGTCCGTTCGAATCGCTTGCCAAGCCAAAGTCCGAGGGTGTTCAGCACATTACCTCGACCATATTGGCCTTGGAAAGTAGTATCCATCGCCTGGCTGGCGATGTCGACGGCAAGATTGAGGTCGTCCATGGAGCCGGTCCGTTCGAATCGGCTGCCGAGCCAGTGACTGAAGCCGTTCAACATATCAGCTCGGTATGCGTGGCCGTCGGTTGTGGCGTCTACTGCTTGACCGGTAATATCAACGGCACGATTGAGGTCGTCCATGGAGCCGGTCCATTCGAATCGCATGCCGAGCCAGTTTCCGAGGTTGCCTAACAAGACAGCTCGATTCCGGTGGTTTTGGGGTGTGGCGTCGACGGCTTCTCCGGCAACGTCTACGGCACGATTGAGGTCGTCCATGGAGCCGGTCATTTTGAATCGCCTGACGAGCTGGGTTCCAAGGCCGTTCAACGCAGCAGCTCGGTCTGGGTGGCCTTGGGGTGCGGCGTCTACTGCTTGATTGGCAATATCGACGGCACGAATGAGATCATCCATGGAGCCCGTTCGATCGTGTCGCTCCTTGAGATGCACTCCGAGATTGTTTAACCAGGCAGCTCGATTCCGGTGGTTTTGGGGTGTGGCGTCGACGGCTTCTCCGGCAACGTCTACGGCGCGATTGAGGTCGTCCATGGAGCCGGTCATTTCGAATCGCCTGACGAGCTGGGTTCCAAGGCCGTTCAACGCAGCAGCTCGGTCTGGGTGGCCTTGGGGTGCGGCGTCTACTGCTTGATTGGCAATATCGACGGCACGATTGAGGTCGTCCATGGAGCCGGTCCGTTTGGATCGCTTCCCGAGCCAGTAACTAAGACTCCTCAGATGGCCAACTCGTTTGGGGTGGTCTCGAGGAGTAATGTCTGCTGCTTGACCGGCAACATCGACGGCGCGATTGAGGTCTGCCATGGAATCGGTTCGTTGGAATCTACTGCCGAGCATTGTTCCGAGGTCGCTCAACGAGCCAGCTCGATCGGGGTGGTCGTGTGGCGTGGCCTCTACCGCATGTCCGGTGATTTTGATTGCAAGGTTGAGATAGTCTATGGATTCGGTTCTGTCGAATCGCTTGGCGAGCATAATTCCGAGGTCTTCCAACTGGCGAGCCCGATCAGCGTCGTCTTGGGGAGTGGCCTCTACCGCCTGGCTGGCGATGTCGACAGCACGATTGAGGTCGTCCATGGAGCCAGTCCGTTCGAATCGCTCGCCCAGAGAAGGTACTCGGGGCATTCTTGCGCACCTGTCGCCTGCCAGGCAGGTTCGTGGGCATTCGCTGCGGCTGAGTCTGCCGCATGAGCTGAGCTGGGCTGAGTCCAAGGCTGAAAGTGGTTGGATCGGCTGGGCAAGAATTGCAGAGGCGCTATTTGCAGCTGTCCAATATTCAATGGCCAAGACATGGACTAGCTTGGTTTGGCCATGGCCACGAACGTTGCTCCTGCAACCCCCGTGTTTCGACACGCAGCGCGGCTCATCGTATGTCCTCATAGTTTTTGATCTGTACAGTATAGCACTTCTTCCCCAACGATATGCACTCAAGCCCAGTTAGGTGGTGTGCGGGCTGGGGTCTCATACGCCTCAATGCGAATTGGAACGTGCGCACGACTTGCCCACGTCCCAGGCACGCATGTGTGCAGCCGATGTCCTATGACCACGCGAAACTCTTGCACCGGCAGGTAGCGAAATCCCGAGACGCCCAAATTGAATTTCACCTTGGCACCTTCATGCTCCCTGAATGCTTCCGATATCCTCAGGATTGTGGGTCCAGTGCGGTTGTAGGCCGCCACCGGTGCGTGCATCCTCGGGTGAACAGGGGGTGGATAGGGGGTGGACAGGGGTTGGATTGACTTGACCAAGGGATATGCAGGTGAAAGTGATGCCTCCCAGCTACGGAAATGTCAGCAGAAACCCGCCTTACTCTCATGTCTCAGATCCTGGTCGGATGCGCCATGATTTGCCGAAGTGTGTTGCTGCTTTTACCAGCGTTGTCGCACCGAAAGTTGTGGTGGAACACTTGTGGTCATAATGCCCAGCTGAGGCCCTTGGTGCATGCAACTGTGTCTCTCAACATTCCGCTCCCTGGGTCCTTGATTATACAGGGTTCCAAGCAAACTACCACCCAGTATAACGACATCATCCAAAAGATGCCTGACTACAATGCCGATGCCATGGAACCCTTCCGTGTCAATGAGGGAATAAGACTGCTCCTCCAAGATCTGAGCGATGACGAGCTACGTTCCTTTGCAGAATCCCAAGCGGACCCCGAAAGCGATGAGCAAGTCGAACTCTATATTTACGCCTCCTTCCTGTTCTTCACGAAGACTCGAGCCAAAGAGTTTCTGGAACAAGCGATTCAGCAAGCACAAAGATGGATTGCCGTCGTCGACCGAAACCATCCGGATCTCCATCGGCGCTCCCACATGCTCGATAACATGGTGACAGTGATGACCCAACTCAGCCCCGGTGCAGGAGATGGCATATACGACGACGACATACGGTTACGGATCATGCTTCTACGCAACCGAGCGGTACACTTGTCAAAAACATTCGAGCGATTCGGTGATTTGAAAGATATAGACAAGGCCATCAAAACCATGGAGTTGGCAGGAGAGATGGCACGAGATAGCCAAATTCAGTGGGCTCGTGTGTTAAGCAACCTGGCTCTAATGCTCGGCTTAAGATGCGACCGGACCGGCTCAATGGACGACCTCAATCGAGCTGTCTATCTCGCCGACAAAGCAGTAGATGCCGCGTCCGAACACTTACGTGATCGAGCTGCTATCCTTAACAACCTTGCAAACCGCCTTCACGCACGATTCGAACGGATCGGCTCCATGGATGACCTTAATCGTGGCATTGACGTTGCTGGCCAAGCAGTAGATGCTGCACCTCAAGACCACCCTGACCGGGCTGGTTACTTGAGCAACCTTGCGAACTGTCTAGGCACACGGTTCAAACGCCTCGGGTCCATGGACGATCTCAACCGTGCCATCGATGTCGCCGGCCAGGCAGTAGATGCAACACCCGAAAGTCACCCCAATCGAGTTGCTATGTTAAACAATCTCGGAGCCTGGCTCGGCACGCGATTCGAGCCCATCGGCTCCATGGACGACCTAAATCGTGCAGTCGACCTCGCCGAGCAAACAGTAAACGCCACGCCTCAAGAACACCCTGATCGAGCTGGTTGGCTGAGCAATCTCGGAAACTGGCTCGGCATGCGCTTCGAGCGGACTGACTTCATGGATGACCTCAATCGTGCTGTCCATGTCACGGGCCAGGCAGTAGATGTGACACCTCGAGACCATCCTGATCGAGCTGGCCGGCTGAGCAACCTTTCAAACAAGCTCCGCACGCGATTTCAACGCACCGGCTCGATGGACGACCTCAACCGTGCCGTCGACGTCGCGTGCCAAGCAGTAGACGGTACATCCAACAACCACCTCGATCGAGCTCGTATGTTGAACAACCTTGCAAGCTGCCTTGCCACGCGATATGACCGGACTGGCTCCATGGATGACCTCAATCATGCCGTCGACATTGCCGGCCAAGCGGTAAATACGACACCACAAGTCTACCCTGATCGAGCTGGCCGATTGAGCAACCTTGCAAATAGGCTCGGCAGACGATTCGAACGGACCGGCTCGATAGAAGACCTCAATGTTGCCGTCGATGTCGCTGGCCAAGCCGTTGACGCCACACCCCTAGGTCACTTTGCTCGAGCTGCCCGCTTGAGCAGTCTCGGAATCTGGCTTTGTTGGCGATTCAATCGGACCCGCTCGATGGAGGACCTCAATGTTGCCGTCGATGTCGCCGGCCACGCCGTCGACGCCACGCCTGAAGACCACCCAATTATTGGTATCATGTTGCACAACCTCGCACAATTGATCGGCAGGCGATTTGAAGAGACCGACTCCATGGACGACCTGAATCGTGCCGTCTACGTCGCTGGCCGAGCAGTGGAAACCACGCCTCTGGACCACCCTGATCGAGCGAGCCGATTGTGCAATCTAGGGGACTTCCTCGGCATGCAATTCAATCGGACCGGCTTCCTGTACGATATTGATCACCAACTCTCAACATGCACGCAGGGTTGGCAGTGCTATGCAGCCCCACCGCGTGATCGTATACGCGCAGCTCAGCAGGCCGCCAAAATACTCGCTAGTCAATTGGATTGGGAAGGTTCAAGTCGGTTTCTCCAAGGAGCCGTCAACCTCCTTCCCACCATAAGCCCACGATGGCTGAGGCACACTGACAAGCAGCACATGCTTGCCGAATTCGCCGGCTTGGCATCCGAGGCAGCCAGCGCCGTTCTCAATGCTCGGAAAGATGCGGTTGAAGCTCTACGGCTTCTCGAACTCGGTCGTGGCATCATTGCCAGCCTGCTGATGGACATGCGCGGAGATATTTCTGACCTTCGGAAGCAGCACGCCGGTTGGGCAGACAAGTTTACATCACTTCGCGACGAGCTAGACTCGCCAGCAGACAGGGCCAGCCTTTTCAGCCCTAGTGACGAATTAACTTCCTGGGAGTTGCGAGCCAAACGGCGCCGTGAGGCAGACAAGGAACTCGGCGAGCTTATTTCGAGAATTCGTGCTCAGCCTAGATTCAAGAACTTTCTCCTTCCGCCGACCGCAGATGAGCTGATGGCCGCGGCAAGCTTGGGTTCCGTTATTGTTATCAACCTAAGCCCGTACCGCTGCGATGCGTTCCTGATTGAGACGAATAAGATTCAGGTGCTAGGATTGCCTGAGCTGACCTTGAAAGGAGTCCAGGAACGAGTCCAGAAGCTGCGATCAGTCTCCCATGCAGCAACTTACGATGCAGCACCACTGCTTGAATGGCTCTGGGATGTTGTCGCTCGTCCGGTCCTTGACGCACTTGGATTTGATGGTCCACCTGTCGACGACAATTGGCCTCGTGTGTGGTGGGTTCCCACGGGAGTCCTCAACCAGCTGCCTCTCCATGCAGCAGGGTACCACACAAGAGGCGGTCACGAGGCCGTAATCGACAGGGTCATGTCTTCGTACGCCTCGTCGGTCAAGGCACTGGTACATGGACGCCGGTACGAAGTGCAAAGATCTATTGGAACACTTTCTGGGGAAGCTTTGTTGGTTGGCATGCGCGAAACACCAGATCTAACTGCAAACCGGATGCTTTCTTTTGTTACGGACGAGATAGAGATTGTACAGAACCTCTGCCCTTCGCTCGGATTGCGCCCAATGAGGCCGACGCCGTGTAAGGACGATGTGCTCAAACACCTGCAAGCATGCAAGATCTTCCACTTTGCGGGCCATGGGCTGTCGGATCCAGACGAGCCGTCTCACAGCTGCTTACTCCTCCAAGACTGGAAAACAAACCCACTGACGGTGGGACACATCCGTGAGCACAGAGTACAAGAAACTCCACCGTTCCTTGGTTTTCTCTCCGCGTGTTCCACGGGGGCGAATAAGGTTGACCGACTCGTTGACGAGGGCATCCATCTTGTGAGTGCCTTCCAGCTCGCTGGTTTTCGGCACGTTGTCGGGACGCTCTGGGAGGTATCGGACCAGCACTGCGTGGATGTGGCGCGAATGCTCTACGAGACGATGAGGGGCGAGGGAATGACAGACGTGGCCGTCTGTCGAGGACTTCATCGGGCCATTAGAGCTCTACGTGATGGCGGTTTGGGGGCGGGATTGATGGGAAGGGAAGGCGGTCCGGCCGGGATCGCGATTGTGCACGACAGAACGGAAGTTGTGGAGGTGACGACTTGCGAGATGCCCGAGGATGATACTGACATGTCAATGATGACACTTGAGGGGAGAGACCCAGGTCGAGTGCGCAAGAAAGGAGCGGATATGTCATTACTTTGGGTTCCATACGTTCATTTTGGAGTCTGAGTTAGCTTTTTAACACAGTCAGAGAGCTGCTGACCTTGCCAAAACACCGGCTGATAACCAATGGTGAGGCAATTTGAATATTGCGTTGAGCCGCGCGCAACACTTGCTGCACTGCGGCAGACTGAGTCAGGCATTTCGCGAGGCTGACGACAGGGCGACACAAGCCCCACCAGCATGCGCCATGCTCTAACCCTTCAATACAATCAATAGCTTCCCGTAACGTACAGCACACGGTGCCGAAGCGTGGCCAGCTTCAAAGGCTTGGGTAGACATGCATGCTGCACGCTGACTGAAACTTGGAAGAGTCATGTGCGTACGCCATGATACGACGCTGCGGTCCGGGGCGTTCGACTGCTGGTGAAGCCGGCCATGAGAGTTCCCAAACGTCGAATAAGATCCCTGCTCCATTAAGGCCGACGTAAGCAGTTGGCCGTAGCCATTTTCGACATGAAGTTGCTGGCGTGCGGGGTATCCGAAAGCATGACGACATGACGAACGTCGCGGCTAAGAGAAAATACTATTTCACCATGTAATAAAAGGTGTTAATTGAGGCATGTTTCTTTTTCCGTTCTGTTGTTTGGGATGGCGCAGCGCGCTCAATCGTACTAAAGCCAGGTCAGTCATGGAGTCCCCGGACATTCATGTCATGCGGAACCCTTACTGCACATCCAGCGGCCATCGCGTTGTCTCGTATTGACTTGTGTGTGATCTGCGACCAGGTTTCGGCGTCGTCGAGCCACATTAGAATGGCAGCAAAGGATGTGCGCGGGACGGGCCTTGGCCATTGGGATTTGGCTGGGTGTTCAGCCGCACTGGGGTCCGCCTCCTTTGAACTCGCCGATCAGCTTCGTACTCGCGGTGCAGCGCTTTCTGCACGTCTTGTCTTGCCGCACTCCTCTGCCCGACATCTTTGCCATGGTCAGCTGCCTGTCTTCGTCTTGCTACGAAACATCGGCTGACGACGATGACCCGTCTCTCAACGCTTGAAGCGCCGTGGAGGAAGCGACCAGCGGTGACGGCGGAGTTGCACCGTCCACGAACGCCACATTTTCATTCCACCGCCAACTGGCTGACCGCGTCCCAGCGCCTGCAGGTGGCGAGGCTGCAAGCACCGCACTTCAATAAGTGTGACGAATCGCAGATTGGGAATCGTCTGCACATGTCGAGGTCGCTCCGCTGCCAGCGCCGCTACCGGTTTGAGCTTCGTCTTGCCGACGCCTTTTAACTCCCATATCTCCCGTGAGATCTATTTTCTCTTTGCCAACATCTTTATTGCAATCGCAGCTATTGAAACCAGCTAAATCAAGCCCCAATCTCAACATGTGTCCAAGGGACGAGGAGAAGGACAAGGCAGCTACCAGTCTGAGCGATCTGCCCCAACCAGAGAAGTCAAAATCGCCAGTCGTCCCGTATCCGAGTCCTCCAGGTTCGCCGCGTCAAAGGAGATCACCCATACTTGAAATCCCGAAAGCGTCCAAAAATGAGACTCGTCTGGCAGAAACGATCCCACCAAAACAACCTTTTGCCACGACTGCTAAGCCGAACGAGAACAAAGACGACGTTTTAGCATTGAAGTCTCGCCTTGGTCTCGACGATGAGTGTTGTGCCGGTCTTACAAAAGCTGGGCGCCCTTGCAAGCAACCGTCGCCAGCAACGAAAGACCAAATCGTTTCCCATGTCGAGCCCTTGATAACCCTCACGCAGTCATCTCTGGCACTCGACTCTTATCTAGACAGGCTGGCTACGCTTGTGCATTGCCGTTTCCACGACTGTGGCATCCCGAAAATGCTTCGAATTGACGCTTGGTTACCTGAATTCCCTCTTGGAGAAAATGGTGCCGACCTGATCGCTTCGAGACAGATTAGAAAAGCGCTGCGTCTGGAGTCTACTCAGTGCCTAGCAGTTGCGTCTAAAACGCGAAAGCGATGTCGGCAGATTGGCGGGCAAAGTGTTCAGCACTGTTCAGCAACGATTGCTGAGATTGTTAAACCCGATGTCTATCTGAACGACATCCAGCTTGACATCTTTCTCAGAATTCTCGAGACGCATATGCACTGTTCTGAGCATGATGACGGGCAAGACTTCACGAAAGTGGACACCTGGAAACTGAAGATTGCAGAAATTAGGGGACAGCAGACTGCCAAGGTCGTTGAAACCGACATGCCCACGGATACTAGAGCGTCTTCACCGCCTTCCAACATCCAAAGCTCTGAGAGGCCTCCCACTAAAACCAGCCGTTCCTGGATGCCGCAAAGTGGAGTGCTGCCGGCCTCGGAGTTACTAAAACATCTGAGCAACTACTCGCGAACGGCATATGACGATTCCGCTTTTCAAATTATCGAGAAAAGTGACGGGTGCCCTGAGACCTCTTACAGCAGTATCGAAAAGGAGATCCTAAGAGATCTGGACCCGGATGACCACAAGATGGGTCATATTTATGCGTACGAAGTCCCACACAATCCAGGCTACGTGAAAATTGGATATACAACCTCAACCGTCGAGAAACGCCTGAAGGAATGGAAGCTCGGGTGTAATAGAGTCCCCAAGGTCCTGTTTCCTAAACCTTCTAGCACCGTTGTGCTCATTCCACATGCTCGTCATGTCGAGGCATTATGCCATGCGGAGCTAGGCCATCGGAGGATTAGGATATATTGCAAAAATTGCTTGAAGCAGCACCTTGAATGGTTTGAAACTCCAGCTGCAGAGGCTGTTGCGGCCATAAAAAAGTGGTCTAAGTGGATGGCATCGTGCCCGTACGAATTGACATCTGAGGGAAAGAGCACGATCAAACGAAAGGAGAGGAAGAAAATGCTAGATATGGGCTGTTTCATGAGAGAAATATCGGAAAACTAGGCATTGTCTCGGGCATGCTTGAAGAATACTCACCGCATGCTGATATTGAGCAGGGACGACGGCAGCTGCATTCCAGTTTCACATGTACGGCAGTTCTCCCCCTATCGATACTGTAGCACTTTCACGGCGTTGACCAGTATGACTATGCTTGAGGAAGCTATACGAGGATCAGGTGTCCGCGACACATGCTAGCCGCCCTTGTAAGCTACTTGTACCATCTCGTACAGACGTCACTTCCACATTCTCCTGGCTCTTGTGCTTTGCGACGTGCATCCATCTGACTGGGGTACAGAAGTCAATCTTCCTACAAACAGATTTCAAGATTGATGTCGACGCCTATGACGCTCCTACGGTTCACCGTAATCGAAATGTGGTCAGGGTCTTAACTACTTAGCTTCGGGTTGCGTGGCATCTCCCCTGCTCTGGTGATGCTGGCCACAGATAGTTGATCCAGAGCTTTTATGCTATTTGTCGCCACTTTCTGGATCTGGTCTGGTAGATTCCGGTGTGGACAGGGTCGTGTCGTTCTGGACATCCAGATCACTTATGTGTAGTTCGTACAGAATTGCACCGGCCTGGTGCGCGTGGTCCAAATGCATACAACAGCTGGGGCGTGCGTCATCCAGAGCTTGACTTGTACATCGCTGTATCCGAGGCGACTGTTCCCCTAGATCATGTTGCGCGGAAGCACTGTCGCTTTCTTCACTGGCGGTTATCTCTCGCCACCGCGTCGACCGCTTCCTGATGCGCCAATTACGTGGCTTTAAGTGGACCTCATCGTCTCGACATGCGAACCGCCAAAGAGGACTTGTCAATTCATCTTGTTGTTAGGTGGTGGCGGACAGATGATGGGCCCGATTTTGATGCGCAGATACTGCCTTGCATGTCTCCTGCACGATCGACTCATCCAGAAAGTTCTTTTACTCAAAACCGACCTTGTATTCCCACTCACAACCTAGCAGCCACCGCATGATATCGCAAGTAACATTGCCCTTCGAGTACCTCTCATCTGCTATACTTCCGGGCGGCTGGTCCGGAGGACCATGAGGGTGCCTACCTGGCACGCTATGTATCATCGTCGACTCTGGAATCCAGCTATAGGGATAATTGGCAATAAAGTCTACAATGTTGAGGAAGATGAGAACAACGCCTTTCTCTTGATTGAAGTGGTTGGGACAACGAAGAGGTGCTGAATTAGCGTGAATATTTGACTACTTTACCTCGACGTCAATATTCTGCAGCCGGAGACCATAATCCACGCAACCAACAGTCCAGTTCCCGCCTATTCCATGGCGTTCGCAGCCTGTGCTATCTCTATGCGGACATTCGGCCCAAGTCCTCAGGAAGAAATATCGACATTGATTTATGAGCAACTCTTGCATCTCTTTGTCTGCTGTATTTCCCCCGGGTATTGCTGGGACCGTGAGTAATGTGCTGTCGCCGCAAGACGAAAATGCATAATTCCTGGCCATGGAAAATATGTATGTAGTGTTTGCTTGACTGTCCCAGAAACACTGCGAAAAGCTGTTGTTTGCGAGGTAAGTGTAAAGGTTATCACGACAAAAGTTCAGTGCAGCGAAGCTCAACCCTTCGCCAGGCTGCGGTGCCTTCTCATCCGATGTATGGCACGCGAGTTGCGAATTTGGCGGTAGAGGTGTGGGAAGACCAGCGGGCCGTGTTGAACGTGATTCGGGGATTGAGATAGTGACACATGGAGCTGTGCTTGTCGCGGTGGTCTGGCTACAGGTTGGAGACTTGGCGGGAAGCGGACCGCATGTGCCGGACGTTCTGGCGGGCTCGGTGCGTTTGAAGATTTGTTTCACGCTTATGTCTCGCGGATCGTAGGAATTTCCGTTTTTCTCAATGATTCTGTGAGCAACAGCAATGCCGATTATGAGATGAACGAGCGCAAAACGAATCATGGTGTAATGTGCAGTGTCAGAGTGTTGGAGAGGCAATGGGCCACCAAGGACATTGAAAGGATCGGCGGCCGCCTTTTGAATCCTGTCTTGAGAATATATTGTGGCTGCTTGCCGATGATTTTGCGTTGAGTGGGTGCTTCAGAGAATCAGTATCAGAAGGCGGACGTTCGCGGCGGTCAATATGCAGGACCTAACGCTTCGGCAGCGGCCGGTATCTGAATGTCCACTTTCTCCTATGGCTAGCTAGCTACGCATGAGGGAAAAATCCTGGAGGGCAATTACCTGGCGGCCAGACCTTTGAGCGCGTGGGAGCAGGCCATGAGATAAGTTGGTGCCCACAGTGTGTGAAGCCTCTGTTTCGCCACCGAGCTTCTAGAAGACTGCACTGTACATAACAAGGTGTCGGCCTAAATGACAGATGTACCACGGCGCCTAGGTGGTACCAATTACGGGATAAGGGGATGGCAGAAGAGCCCGTGCTAAAGAGATGCGGATCGCAATTTCTTAGCAGACCGCTCGTCGCTGCTTACCGACGGCGTATGATGCAGGTCCCCGTACTGCAGCAGACCCGGCGTTGCCGCAATCTTCACGTCCGTGTTCCGCCGCATCTGACTGGCAAAGCCTGAATATTGAGGTAGGTACTGGACATCGGTTGTCCCATTACTTTTTAACCCTTGAGATACGTAGTAAAAGGATATTAGGCAGGAATAGGAAACAGCAAGAAGCCGCCATAGTGACAAACTCAATACTCTGCCTCTGCGCGGCCGAACCCGCCCGTTGCGTCACTTCTTTAGTTGGAGATGGTGTTCTGCTTAGGAGTGCCAGGCTATCATGTATGGCCGGGCTGAGAATTCTTCGAGTTCCGGCATTCTCGAAGCAAATCTTCAACCAGCATGTAGGAAACATGCTTAGTGCTGTGCTCGTGCTCTTCCTTGCCTGTGGAGACGAATATTCGATCTGCACTCGGTGCATCTATAGTGCTCTGATTTGTGATGTCTTTTCATCCTGTCACGTTGGAGAGCCAACGCACCCGAGCTCACACTCCACCTTCTCACGATAACGAGCCGGTCTCTTTGTCCACGTGCTCACTTTTTCACTGTTATGGCCTGTTGTGTTGTGGTGTTTCAGCCACGCCTCGCCAACGAAGATAGTTTCGCAGTAGCGAACGTGTGCCGTCTTCCGATGACTTCTGTGGCCACTTGCTGTGTAGTGGTGCCCACAAATGCAGAGCACGCGTTCCATGATAGCAAGTTCCGATATCGTATCCTTGGTCAGGAAGAGACTCGCAAGTTCTGGACGGCGTCGCTGGTCGCGCGAGGGGCTTGAGGTTGCGTGGGCGTGGCGTGGAAGGGGAAGCGTTGCGCGGAAGGGGAAGCGTTGCGCGGAAGGGAAAATGTTGCGTGGGGGTCCGTTGCACGCAAGGGTGGAAGGGGAGCGTTGAGCCTCAGCG